TATTTATGTGCTTTATTAAACCTAGTCAGTCATAACTGTTAGCTTATGCTAACTATCCAGAATATTCTTCAGTTTCCCAATAAAAGTATTTTCTGTCTTTGTAATAAGACATTACTAGAAAACAACTAATTCCAGGCCTCTTGCAAATAAGATTTAGTTTTATCTAGCTGTCTAAAATGTTAATCTGTAATTTATGGGTCTTGCTTTTTGCACACACTGTAACCCTGTATTCCCCAAACATGTATGTGCCTTTTGTAATCACAAACATCTGCAGTTAAACTGCACTTGACTAGAGCCAGTTTAATTCAGCTCTTCAGGATGACTCATTTCTACTGATTAAACAAGGATATAGAGGAATAGGGAAAGTTGTGAAACTCGTTTCTCTTCTTACAGTAATTCCAGACACATAATTCTTCCTTCATCAACCAGCAGCTGGCAAAAGCTGCCCCAGAATTATGATGATTTATGGCATGAAACTTTACTTCCCACACAAGTTAGGAGTCAGCTTGAGCACTTGTCTGTCGTTGAGCTACAGTGTGCAGCAATTCAGCTGCCCTGTTCTGATCCTCATGAAGGAAGAAGGGTTGTGATTAAACCACAGGTTGTATCTTTGTGGGATCTACACACCACCTCAGCATGAAGGTGCAGATTTTCAGCTGCTCACCTCTGCTTTCCCATCTTGCTTTTACTCAGAGTCACGGGCATGTCAGTTCAAGTATATTTTTAATCTCAGTTGACCCTGTTGTTTCTATTTGTTTTTTTTAAACAGATGAATAGAAAAAAGGAGGGGAAAAAAGAGGGGGGGAAGCTTCAAATACAGGTTGCACAATACCCCAAAATAACTACTTTTCCTATACTAAAGAGTTTCCCAAATTTTCACATAACCCAGATGTGGGCACCCCAGACATGTGCACACTATGACAGTAAGCTTTTGTCTTTCAATGCATGCAATTATAGAGCTTGTTTTACAATCAGTGTTTGTAATATCTGTGTTCAGTATCTAAGCTTGTCTTCCTTCTTGCTGTACACACTGGAGTTTCAAATAGCTCCCCTTCCCCAGAAAGTCACCAAAAATAAGCTGCAAGTTGTCTATTTCTTTAGAGTAAATCTATCAAAAAGCAAGTTATTCTTCTATTAAAACACAGTGCAAAAAACTTGACTGTAATTCACACTCCCAATGAAATAGATAATAACTCCTCCAAAATGGGAGAGAGAGCATGTAAAATATTTAATGTTGTTATTTGCACACCACTGCTCTCAGTCAAGATTAGTGCCTTTAGAGATGACAAAAGTACTTCCATCTCAGACTGGAAAAGGAAAACTGAAACAAAAAAGCATCTCTGTGTTACAGCATAAGACAAAAACAAACAAAAAAGATTTAAAGAAGTTTCTGTCCTCAAGCTCAGCTTAAGCCAAGTCATAAATACAAAGTCAGAAAGCACAGTTCACATATAACAATGCTTGTTTGCTTAAAGATCTATAGACTCATTGATTCATTACATAGACAGTTTTCAGAGAAATTTGGTCTAAAAATGATGCCAACTTTGTCACAGAAATATGCAAGCAACATGGCAGAGTATTTGGAGACAGAAATGGAAAGCCAAGGCATCACATACTCTGTCATGAGAGACACCCAGAACCCCAAATTTCAATTGTTACTTTTAAAAAGATTAAGTTAGGAAGTATTTAATCCTAAGTAAGATGATAGAGTGACTAGCAAGATTTCTTCCAGCCTAGAAGACGCATTTTATAAGTGTGGAAAATTTCCAATTCTCGTGCTCATTTGTTTTGAAAAACAACATGCCAGGCAGCTCCTTTCCTAGTAAATGTGGATGAATTGAGACAGTTCCCACTTGCTCCTTTATCTTCAGTTCCTTTCTTGCACTTTTCAACATTAAGAAAGTGAGAATCTGCTAAGTCAGGAGCTTCTAGAATTTCCAGTCTCTCAAGCCTTGATTTGTTAGTGCTGCTCCACACCAGCTCAGACAGTGAGTGGTCACAATATCGATAGCACCAGCTGAGTTCCTCAGAGTTCCTGCTCATCGACAACAGCTGAATTTGATTCACACATCAACTCTGCACTGCTACCCTCAGTTATCGGGCATTTACAGCAGTCACACGGGTGCTACTGCCAGGGATTATGTGTGTTGGGGGAAAAAGCAACAGAAGAAAGTGAACCACTGCAAACTGAGAATTTTTTTTTTTTTTTTTTTTTTTTTTTTTTTTTTTTT